GACTGCTCTCTCCTACCCAAGGACACCTCTCCAGCAAGCTTCCCTTCTCTTCTGCATCCTCCAGTATTTTCCTCGCTCCTGGATTACTCCATCAGCTTACAAACATGCTCTTTTGGGAATTCCCCGGAGGTCCAGCGGTTAAGACTCCACGCTTCCACTGCAGGGGGCATGGGTTCCATCCCTGGTTGGGGAACTAAGATCCCACAAGCCGCGCGGCATGGGCGCCCCCCACCACCAAATGCTCTTTTCATTTCCCTTTCTATCGTAAAAGACAGAATAAAACAACCCTTCCTCGACTCTCCTTGGGCCTTCAGCTGCCACCCGCTCCTGTTCCTCTTTGCCAGAGCTCGGCTGCCAAGAGCGGGTGGGCTCCCCTTTCTACCTCCAGTTCTCTTCCTATCATCCCTCCCCACTTGCCACCCAAGCTGCACTGGCCTTGTGTTGAGTCCAGTGCTCTACTCGCAGTCCTCCTCCAGCGGCGGCCCTGGAAGGAGCCTCACGGGTTCAGCTCGCCCTTTCCTTACCAGACCGCTCCCTCCTTCTCAGACCCCAGTGCTGACTCCTCCTCTCCTGCTGCCGTCTGCAGACTGGATCCCCAGGCTCAGTCCAGCTCCTCCCCTGTCTACACTGGCTCCCAGGGCCCACAGAACAATACATCAGCGACTGCCAACTTCTACAGGTATCTATCCCTACTAGAAGTCTCCATCTGGATGCCCAAAAGGCACCTCTAACCTGCTCTGGCCCAAACAGGCCTCCTGATCTCACCCCACGCCGTCTCAGTTCCATCTCAGTTAAGAGCGACTCCATCCTTCCAGGTGCCCAGGCCAGATCCCTTGCGGCCATCTTCTCTGTGCCTCATACCCCGCATCTGTCTGCCAGCAAATCCTGCCAGCTGTACCTTCAAAAGAAACCTAGAGTCCAGCTGCTTACCACTTCCACTGCCACCAGCCTGGCACAGGCCTCTATCCTCCCCTGTGGCACCGCCCCTGCCTCTGCCCATTGCAGACCCAGCTCAACACAGGGGCCCTGGTGATTCTCTCGAGGTCCAAATCAGATCAAAGCCCTCTAGGTTTTCACTCAAAGTGAAAGCCAGAGTCCTTACGTGGGCCTTCAAGGCCCTGTCCATCGGCCCCTCCCCCTCCCTTAACTCTTGATGAGTCTCCAACCTCCCTCCCCTCACTGGCCTAAACTGTGTCCTGACCTCAGGGCCTTTGCATGTGCCCTTCCCTCCGCCTGCAGGTCTCTGCCTGCATCTGTCTTCCCAGAGACCTCTGCCTGGCTCACCCCTCATTGATTCTAGCCTTTGCTGAAATGTTGCTTCTTACCAAGGCCCACCCTGACCACCTCAGTTAAAATCACTCCCCCGGCCCCCCAGTACCCTGGATTCCAATGAGAAAGTCAAGAGTGTGTCATGTAGTGCATCATCTTCTAATGCATTATATCACTCACTACTTTGTTTCTTTGTTTATGGTTTGTCTCCCTCCACCTACTAGAATGTGGGCAACCACAAGGGCAGGGGTTTCTCTCTTCTGGTCACTGATGAACCCCTGGCAGCTGGAACATACATTCAGCACTTGACACAGAAGATGGGAAGGGACAGCCAGGTGGGGGGGGGTAGAAAGCTGTTTCAAGCAGAAAAACAGCAAGTGCAAAAATCTGGGAGTTAAAGAAAACCTGCGGAGTTCAGTGTGACAGACAGCGGGCTAGGGAGGGCTTTTTGTTTTGTTTGGTATTAGAGATTATACCCCTGACTAATAACTGAATACCAACCTTTTTGTTTGTTTCTTTTTTTTTTTGGCTGCGCTGCATGGCTTGCAGGATCCTAGTTCCCTGACCAGGGACTGAATCCGGGTCCTAGATAGTGAAAGCACTGAGTCCTAACCAATGGACTGCCAGGGAATTCCCTGGGGAGGGGGTCTTAATAAGCCTTCCTGCTCCTGAAAATGGGAGGGCGGTCAATTCGGCTTCCACAGGTGAGGGACATGAGTTTTGTTTTCAGAAGATCTCTGTGGATGTTCCAGGTGCCAAGGCTTGTGCTGGCCACTGGGGAGGTGGGGACTACAGAGAAATGGCCACTGCCCTCCAGGGCCCATCCTTCCATCTCAGTGCTGGGTCCCCCTCAGTAGGTGTGGAGGACAGCTGATGCTTCCCCAGCCCCACACAGACCTGCTGCCTGGTAGGGCTGCCTGCCTCTTGGGGTCACCTGGCCTTGGCAACTGGCAAGGACAACCCGCGTGTGGGTGTGAGCCACAGAGCTGGAAAGAACATAGCTGGGGCTGGAAGGCTGCATCCCAGGATCTCAGGGAAAGTGCTAGCCTGGGGCAGGGCACCACCAAGTCTTCTAGCCCCAAGGAAATGCCAAGCAAGTGTGACCTAAGGCAAGTTGCCTCTCAGTGATTCTGTCCTGGCCCTAAGCTAAGAGCTACATACTTTGACCACTTACTAAGCACCAGCTCTATAATTGCTTCTTAGGTATTCCTAATCATCCCCACAGCACTACATTGGTGGCGACTAATTGCTCTCTTTTACTGAGGAGGAAGCTGAGGTGCAGAGAGGTTAGGGACTTGCTCAAAGCCACCCAGTGAGTGTGGATGTGGCTGGGGTGCAGGGAGCTACTGGGCTGGAGGCCAGGTGGTTGTTTTGGGGGCAGGGGTGCCTACCTCCATGGTGGCTGCTGCTGGCTGGCTGCCCCTGCTGGTGACCAGCTTCCCCCAGGAGGCCTGGGGCCGTTTGCCGGTGCTTGCTGGGACCTGGGGGCCTGTCCCCTGTGGGGCTGGGGCCCAGGCCCCTATCTGCAGGGCTGGAGTCTTCCTGCTCACTCTGCTCAAACTCTGGGATCTGGAACATGCTCTGGGCTGCGGGGGTAAGATGGTAGGTGGTTAGGGCACAGCTGGGGCTAACGGGGGCCGGCGGTGGGGGTGGGGAGGGGCGCAGGCATCCCTGGCTCCCTCGCCCACCTCAGAACCCCAGGTCCACCCTGCCTCCCAGGCCCCCATCTGTCCGTTGAGTCTGGCCCGGCAGGAAGCTCAACCTACCCACCCAGGATCTAAATCTCTCAGAGCCCTGGGGCGGTAGAGCAGCCCCAGGCCCCTACCCAGGCCTCGGCCAGACCCGCCCGTGGTGACGGCACACAGGTCTCACCCCAAGCCCGATCTCGAGGCCCCTGACCCGGGCCCGCCGCGTCCCTCTAGCACCGAGGGAGCCCGGCCCTAGTTGCCTGGGCAACGGGAACTGTCACCGACACGGCCCAATCAGCTCTAGAAATGTCACTAACTGGCCAGCAGGCGGGGCCACTAACGGCCCGGGCCCCGCCCACCACCTTCCTCCTGGGTACCTTCTACGTCTCCGGATGCTCAGCTCCCGACTTCCTTATGCCTTGGGCGTGTGTGGGAGCAGATGAGGGGTTCTTTGGGATCCCCATCTGGGGGCCAGCTCCTGCTGACGAGTCCTTCAGGCCCTCTGGGCCTTAATTCCCACCCCTGTATAATGGGGATAATGACACCTCCCTCAGGAGTCGGTGATCCTTGTAAACTGAGTGGTGATTACTGTGGGTGAAGGCGCTTTGCAAAGCCGTAATTGAAGCTCAGCCGTCGGATGCAACTGTTGTTGTTGTCACTGCTCCGTCAGAACCGAGTGGCCGACTCGGGAAGTCCCCCTCCCTCCTCCCCGCGGTGGAAACCTCGCACCGCCCGCATCAGGGGCGCCACTGCCCGCGCCAACTCGGGAGCACTCGAGATAAGCGAGGGAGCCTCCGCCCTGGCAGGATGACTGCCCCGGCGCAGAAGGGACAGGGGCCCCTGTGAGGGTGACCATAGGACTCGCGGAGCCTCGCGCCTGGCAGACGGCGGGCCAGGTGAGCGGGAACCGCCGCCGGCCTGGGAGTGCGCGGGCCGGCTAGCGCGGGCTGCGGGGCCTGGCGGGATAAGGCCCGGGGGCGGGCCCCGGAGGCCATCTTGGCTGAGGGCGGAAGTTTCGTTCAGAGACCGGGTGAAGGGAAGTCGTTACAGCCCCGGGTCGGGCGGCATGATCTCGATTTGAGGATGGGGAAGAGAAGCATGGGAACTGCCGGCCCCCCAAAGAAGCAAGGGCAGCTGGCCCCGGGCAGTGCCCACCCGGGCGCTGGCCGGACGCGGCGCAGCCCAAGCGTCACGGCCGGTCGCCGCCTCTTGTAACCCCTGACGCCCGCCGGCGGCGCAAGTCGCGCCAATTCTCGAACGGTTCCGCGCCGGGCGCGGCGCGGTTCTGCGTAGCAGGGGCCAGACTCTGAGCAATTTGCGTAGCGAACGGTGGCCGCGCAGGCGCAGGAGGGGGCGGAGCAGCGGGAGCCGGGGAGCCGGAGCCCCGCGTCCCAGCGACCGGAGCCGGCTACCCCATCGGCGGCCTGAGGACCCGGCGTCGGCCTCCTCCCGCCCCCCGCGTCTGGAGAGTAGACGCCGTGGGGGGTGGGGTGGGGGCAGCGTCCGGAATCCCGAGGACGGAAGGCAGAGGCCCTCCCCATCCGGATTGTGGGAGGGGAGAGAGTCCCCCAGTTTGGGGAGGGGGAGAGCCAGGCGTTGAGCGTCCCCAGCAGCGGCCGCTACCCTGAGCAGACTGGCGTTGGCCGGCTCTCCCCCTCCTGCCAGGACGACTCCAGCGACCAAGACCAGGGACCACCCTTTTTCAGACTCTGCACCTCCACCCACCTCCCCACCCCCGGCTCTGAGAGCAGTGCTCCCATCCCCCTCTGCCCTGGAGAGGAAAGGCTGTCCTTCCACACCCCTGAGTGAGGGGCCCAGGTTGCCTGTGCCCCGCAAAGGCAAGGGTCCCTCTATTCGGGGGGGGGGGGGGGGGCCGGGCCACCCCCAACTTCTTTACCCCTGAGCTCCCCACCTC